GAGGATTGGCCTGGGAAAGGGGGGGGGGGGGGGGGGGGGGGGGGGGAAGGATGATGAGGTTGCTCCTCATCCATGAAAGTGATGATTGGCTGATCGTCCATCGGAAACGTTCCACCATATTCATTGTGAAATCTGTTTCCTGGCCGCCGTGCGTATCAATGGGAGATTCTGAATAAGTAGCCCCGCCCATTCCTCTACGGACGCCATCTTGGCTCACCCAGATTTGGAGTATTTGGCTCTCCCTGTAGTGGAAGAAAACGGATGCAAATGAGTCAAATGATATGACGAATAATATGTTGTAGAAAGTATTGAATGCGGCACGTCAATGAGCGTCAGAGCCGAGGAAAGCGTGGACTCTGAGTGTGCATAGGTGTGGAGACATTGTGGGGACACTGGGAGGTTAGGTTCTTTGTCTTGGTCACCCTTGGGGAGTGTGTATTGGCAGCACAATAGCTTTTATACTAATAGTTCTATCTTGTTTGGGTGTACGTTTGTGAAATGGAACTATAGTGATGTGAAGAAATAAGACTCCGCCAAGTATCATCCATGTGCAGATGAACCTCTTAAAGGAGAAGTATGAGGGAGGGGGGGAGGGGCTTTTCACTCACCTCATAGTTCGGGGCGACGTGTGACAATGAGACTGTCACAGGTCGGCTCAGTAGATCGGGAGGTGAGGGAACACATACCGGCGTTCGCTCGCCTCTCGATCCCGTCACGGCTCTCTGCCTCCCCCCTCCCCGTTCCGATCCTCCAGCGCTGACTGGCGGAGGGGGCGGGTACAGCCTCTAGATAGGCAGAGCCAGCTGTCAGTCACACAGCTGGGCGGATCCAGACATAATTGTCCCGGCTGCGGCGTCTCAGTATACCGCTGTATATACTCATGAGTATATACTCAGTATATACAGTATATACAGAAAAGACCCGACCATTGCACACACCCGTTACCGGGTGTTTCACATATAGAACATCGGCGGCTCTAAAGCCTGCCGATCGTCTATATGTGCTCGGTTTTTCGCCCCCCTCCTGCACCCTTCACCTTCAATCCCGGGATCCGCTGCCCCATCTGTGGCCCGGGATCGGCTCGGGAGGGCGTCAGGAGGAAGAGAGATCAGCTCCTTGCTGACCTCCCTCCGTACTGTGAATGTGTGTTACATCACTTCCGCATTCACCTGTCAGTCATCCGGCTGCTATAGCCGGAGAGAAGCCGGGGGAGCAGATCTCGGCTTCATCAGCTTCTTTTGGGGTCCACAGGTGACATTAGGGGTCCTAGAGACCCCTAATGTCTCCATAAAGAGGACCTGTCAGTGTGCCTTTGCTATTATATAGGGGGATTGTTATCCTCCTATATAATAGCAATAACAATAAGTGCAAAAAAGTAAATATAAATAAAAATAAAAAAATAAAAGTCAGATATAAAAAAAGTAAAAAAAAACCAAAATGTTTAACTCCCCCACCCCCACGTTTACGCAGTTAAATCAGAGAGCTGCCTCTTTTTTTTTTAATAACATAAAAATACATTTAAACCTCCTTTTTAATGATATTATTAACCCCTCCCATCCCTCTGTCCCCTCTCACCTCGGCATGTCCAGCCTGTCACCCACGGGGGCCTCTCCAGCCAGGAGCGGCCTTCCTCCGCTCCGGTACTCAACCGGAGCCGTCGTCCGGTGCAGGCAGGGGAGAGCAGCGGGGATCCGAGGAGAAGCTGGAGCCTGTGCTGTTCCTCTTCTCCCTGCCGTGCCGCGGCTGTGTTGGCAGTCTGTCGCCCCTGTTGCCAATGGTGCCCTGTGCTCGCCATGGCAACAGGGGCGAGGGGGCATAGCCAGGCTGCGCCCCCTCTCAGCTGCGCCTGAGGCAAATGCCTCACTCGCTCCAGGGTAGCTGCAGCCCTGGTTGTATGAATGGGTTCCGGCTCTGTCCATGCCCGCCCATGTTGGCGAAGAAACTTTCTCCGCAGGAAGGCCGCTGTGCAGGAATGTTGGCAGGACGGGAGTAACGCAGATAGCAATGTTCTGTGGCTTGTTATGTGTGGGCCAATATAGGCGCAAGACCCGGGAATGCTGGAACCGATAACACTGACATCTATGATACAGCTTTGATGCAAAGATGCTCCTGGATATCCTGAACTGAATCAGCACGTGGCTGTGATACGCAAATGAGGACGGTTCTTGGGGCTGGACACTGAGGAATGAAGGACGGTCATGTCCTGGGGCAAGCCCGACCCCCTGCTGGTATTTACTGCCCACACCTGTGTCAGCAATGCAGCACACATGCTGGGATGGGGGCAGGGGCATATGACGGAACCTTCTTCCTGTGTGATCCTCTGCACTAACCTAACTCACCAGCAGGAACAATGGTAACCTTGGTGACCTCTGGGACAAGACAAGTTTTTCTGGACAATCAAGAATGTGATTGGCTGAGACCGGCTGGAGAGGCGAGTTCTGAGCACAGAGGAAAGGCCCCCCGGCATGTGTGACCGAGGGAGAGAATGGTGACTAGCTCAAGGATCCCGACCCACTCCAATCCCCTTCATTGTAATTAGAATGTATATATATATATCCCTATTTGTAAATAAACCCCCCGACACTTATTAAAGATTCAGTTGTTCATCTGTAATTTAAGGCGCCCCCAAATCAGAGCACATTCTACACCTGCCATGTGTCAAGTCATTCTGAATTGAGAAAGCTGGTCGGATGTCCAGTGAAACGTCTTCAAGAAGAATACAGCAGGTCCAGTTACCTTGACTTATTTTTTATAGATATACCATGTGACCTGGATGAATGAGAAGCTTCACAGACACAGACATCCCAACTCTCCCGGATGCTCCCGCTATTGCTTCCTGCGCTATCTGCCATCATTTCAGGGGGGTGCTCTCTCCCAGCCCCCCTAACCCCCCTCTGCGGATGGGGGGGGCGTAGAGGGCACCTCGCTGAAATGAGAAGGACACCTCCCTGAAATGAGAAGGACACCTCCCTGAAATGGCTTCTTTCAGGTTGGGATCCCTGCAGACATACATGATCAGAGTTCTTATTGCACATTTCACATACATGGAGGTCAGGGGTCAGGTCTGTTGCCTTATTATGATCCATATCAGTTGACTCATTTCCATCCCTCTTTCTCTAATACAGGGAGAGCCAAATACTAGAACACAAACCAAATCTGGGTGAGCCAAGATGGCGCACATAGAGCAAGGGCGGGTTATGTATTCAGAATCTCCCATTGATATGTACGGCTGTCGGGGGTGACAAGATGGAGCCGTATTGTATGGGTGATATCACTTGGCTCGGGACAAATTGAACTTTTGAACTTTGTGATATAGAGAGATGACCAATAAATCAGTACAGAAGAAGCCGAATCTGGGTGAACCAAAATGGCGTTCATGGAGCAAGAGTTTGGCTCCTTAGTAAGAATCTCCCATTGAAATACATTGCTGTCAGGAACCAAATGTCACAATGAATATCGTATAACGTGTCAGATGGATGTTCAGTAAATAATCACTTTCATGAATAGGAATTCGGGTGACAAGGAAGCGAACTTCTGAATGTGAATAACAAGCTGGCCGAAAAAGGAGCAAACTTCAGCATCGTGGTGAGGGAGGGGTTATAATCGAGGAGCCGCCATCTTGTTGTGGTCTCTTGGGCGGTCTCCGGGAAGATGGCGGTGGTACGTAGTAAATACGTTTCTTCTTCCGGTCAGCTGACAGCCAATGGTCACATGACCGGAGGAGGAGGAAGATGGCGGCGCTGTGTGTTGTGTTAGTTCTGAGTGCTGCATTGGGGCTCCGGGCTCAGGAGGAGGTGGAGGTCAGTCTGTGTTATACGGAGGGACCTTCGGGGGGAGAAGGGGGTGTATTGGGGTGCTTCACCCCGGGATCACATACAATCCTCTGAGATCTCACTTCCTCTATATACATGACCAGTAAGGAAATGACAACCATTTCCAGGGACATTCACTTCCGGTCCGGGGAGATCAACTTCTACTCCCAGCACAACAAGCTGGATGGCGGAGGAGGTCATGGCATTCTCTGATTTCCTCATGAGTGATCTGTACATTGAGATCTGGCACCCCCGATCATCCTCGAATCCTCCCAAACTTCTCCGGAGACGGGTGCAGGAAATCTCATCACCGACCGAACAGAACGCCAGAGGAAACTATATGACGAATGTCGAGTGGAGAGGGAGGAGGGAAGGACAGGGGGAAGGGAAGAGACAGGGGGAAGGGACAGTTCTGAAGGGAGGGGACAGTTCTGAAGGGAGGGGACAGTTCTGGATGGAGGGGAGTGGATGGGGGGAAGGGAGGGGACAGTTCTGAAGGGAGGGGACAGTTCTGAAGGGAGGGGACAGTTCTAGGTGTGGACGGGGGGAAGGGAGGGGACAGTTCTGGAAGGGAGGGGACAGGTCTGGACATTGAAGGATCAATTCTAGAGGATCTGCTGACAGCACAGCTAATACAGTAGGGGGAGGAGCTTACTATCATTACACCAGACTCCACCCCCGAATGTCAGGGTGCTCAGCTGGGGTCCCGCCTCCACACCGGTCACATGATTCTCCATTCCAGTCCTGCCACTGAATGACGTGTTTGTAGCTCGGCTCCCCCCATTCCGGCTGGGAGGGGGGGGGGGGGGACGTATAGGATTCATACACTGACCTCTGACCTCTCTTCTCTCTCCAGATCTGCCGGATGTGTCCGGGGACTCTGCGGAACAGTTCAGAAGTTTCCCATCTGTGCTCAGAGACCTCGGAGGCGGAGCTTGTGGGTCGCTGCTGTGTGAAGCCCCCCGGGGGTGATATTATTGGGTGCGCACCCATGGGGGGGCGGGGCCTATAGCGAGTACAATGGTTCAGCATCTAATCCGCCATCTTGTGTTCTTCCTGCAGGCTGGATCTCTGGAACTGCTCCATCTCCCACCTGGACCCCGGGCTCCGCCTCACTGCCGCCATTGTTGTCATGTGAGTAACAGTGGGCGGGGTTTAAATGCGGGGTGCCATGAACCGCTACTCACACTGCGTGCTCTTCACAGAGACATTTCCCAGAATCCTCTGCAGGAGCTGCCCCGGGAGATCTTCCAGGGACTGACCGGCCTCAACTATCTGTGAGTGTTGTGCGTAAATTAGCCTATAGCTCTGCTCCC